TTCAGAAACGATCATTTTTATTGAGGTCCATAGTTCATATTCGTCAAGCACAGTTTTTATTCCATTGAATATTGTCTCACTTTTTCCATTTGTCAATTGAAGGACAGCAAGTCTGACTTCCCTAGTTTCATTTTTCAAAACAACTACCTGATATTCCTTCTGTGTATTCTTACCATAAAAGTGTAAACAAGAGTGTTTATTTTTTAAATTTTCCTTGAAATTTCTTTTTAGCTTTTCTCCTTCTTTTATTACTGCTTTGTAGATGCCACTCTGAGTTGGAATAGGTATGGAAACTCCGCTTTTGGACAAAGTTTCACATACTTTGTGGGCCTTTCTTGTACTCAGTTTTGTTTTAGTTACCAAACGTACTGCAGAATCAGTTTTTTTCCTTTTACTGGAAGAAGGTTTCGCATAATCTTCATTGCTACTATTACTTTGTTTTTCACTTATAGATTTTTCTGTTTCTAAAACTGTTTCCGAATCTTCTTCACTACTTTCTTCAACAGACTCTTGTATGACTGACACTCTTCTTTTAAGCATCTTCACTTTTCTTGGATGTATTCCCTGTGTGTCTTCTTTTGTGGTGCAATATCCTACTTTCCCTTTTGTTGAAACCTGCAGTTCATAAAACTCTCTGTCTTCCCTGCACAACCATTCTCCTTTCTCGTCTGTTACATTAAACAATTTACTAAAATCATTGTTTCCAGGTCTTCGAGCACGCTTTTCATAATTTTTATTACATTCTCAACTTTTTATGCAACCGTAGATCTACCTTGTTGAATTGGCCGATTCAAATTATTCCATTGGCCTTTCACTTCATCTGCTATCATTACAATTCGCTCTTTTCTACATTTTACATCAGAAACCAGAGTTTTAAATCTGGCAAAGATATTCTGCTCCATTGTAATTCTTTGCATCTAATCAAGACTGTCAATGGTAGTACACTTTCTTGACTTTTTGCACTTTTGAAATTGCATTAGATTTGAAGACCAAATCTCCTTATTCTTCTCAGAAGGAGGCGCGTTTTTAGACATTGCAGTTCCAAAGTTGTAATTCTCCTAATAGTAAACAATCAGTTAAATGCTGTGTTGGTACCAGAAGAAACAGGTTATTGGAATCTAAGTATTAGATTACTAATAAATATGAAATTTGTTAGATAAAAAATAGTTATAGGAACTTAGAGTAACGTACATAACAAGATCTTGTAACATTCATATTCAGTAAATAGAGAGCTACAAACAATTTAAATGTTAAAATGTTACCCTTCAAACAGACTTTATTTACTTGTAGGTTATTTATCTTTATATAACATGAAATTGCATTATTTCTAATTATATTGAATTATTATATTAACAAATGTTACAAAGCTCAGCATTTGGATAAGGCAGCCTATGTGTAAAATTAAAATCAGTTTGGAGAGTGACTTTTTTTCAAGGTTAAAATTTTTTAATGATATGTTCTTGAAAGAAATGATAAATGTCCACTCATAACAATAGGGGCAGTAAAAAATTCCAAGTAATTTTTTCTAATCATATACCTAATATATATATATATTCAAATACCTTTAAAAAGAAGCATAACACTTTAAACAATAAAACATGGAGAAGCATAATCATTTTTCAAATACTTAAAGCAGAATTTATTTATTTATTTTATTCTTTGTTACTTTTTTAAAGAGAAAATATTCATAAAAATACAGAGAAGTATAAAATATACAGAAATATAGGCACATTTATATATATATATATATATATATATATATATATATATATATATATATATATATAAACTTACATGTCAACAAATACATGTCAAGCACAGCAGCTCTTTCCAATAGCTCTGAAAAATAGCTTTCAACCCTTTCCAATTGCTCTAAAAAATTCAAGTAAATCTGACTTAGTTGCTTAGTTCTTTAGAATCTGAAAACAGATAAGTAAAAAACCAAAAACAAACAAACATTTATTTGTTAAAACTACTCCATATAAACAAATCAAATTAAACGAAAAAATAACATCAATTCTCCTTTAAAGCTGAGAAAAATTTACAAGATCAAATTTGCTTGCAGACCTTGTTAGTAAAACCGCTTGAATAATAAGAAAAGCGTTTAGAAAAGCTTAGAAACTACTATAAAATGATAAATGCAACGTTGAACATTGAAAGTTGACTGAACTAATTATTAGCAGACGTTTTTAAAAAATTCACAAAAATTTGCAATATTTTGTTCAATATTATAAAAAAAACAAAAATAGTTAATAGCATCCCAGAAAAGTCAATAAAATAATAATCAACATAATAAAATAAGCAAGACATGAAATAATAATCAAAATAATAAAATAAGCAAGGCATGAAATGATAGCATTTAATATATATTGCATTAAACTAATTTAGGGCTTCTAAAAAAAATTTTATTTTTAAATAAGAAATTTAAAAGTAGTAATAAACAATTTTGGCCCTAACCATCAAATTAAGAACCAAAAAAATGACAATTTTTCTAGTAATCTAGAGACACTCACGGTTCATTTGGTTAAAAATTAAAATTTGGTTCACCGTCCGAGAGAGAAAATTGAGTTTGAAGTTAGAAAGTTAGTTTGCATTTTTTCTTAAGGTGGTACTACCCTAAATTTTTTATTTTTCAAAATCTGATATTTTTTTGAAAATGATAAACATTTTTCGATAGTAGTTAAAAAACTGAATATAAAAAACATCATTTTTTACTTGTTTGTCACAAAAAAATGCTGAGTCAGCAAAAAAGTAACATGCGGTCAGATAAATGCTTTAAATTTTACAAACATATAGCTAAATAGTTGGTGGAGGGCTCTTAGTAGAATTTTTTTAAAATACAGAACCGATGTAAAATGGCAGATATTAACTCTGAAAATTTCAATGAAAAAGAGTTAATAGTTTCTGAGATATCAATGTTCAAGTTTTAAAATATTTTTAAAATATTATTCTGAGAAAAATAGCTTTTAAAATAAAAAATGTCATAAAAATCTCTAATTAAAAAACATCTAAACTGGCCACAAAAATATAAACCACCTTTAATATTTTGTTCTGTGTCAAAATAACCTTTTTATAATACCAATGAAAAAATTGTGAAAATAGGGCAAACATATAAACAGACATGGTTGCTAAAGGCGTTGGTAGGGATTCGAAAATTACCTTGTTGTCTTTAAATACTAATTTAAATACCTTATATTAATTTTTTAAGGGAAAAAAAATTTCGTGATCCAGGATGTTCAAACTGTTAAAATTTAAACAAAATTTTTTTTTGATGTTTTTAATAGGGCCCTATTATAGGGCTATTATAGATGTTTTATAGGGCCCTAAAGGCTGGAAGGTTTAAGGTGGTACGACCCTAGGGTCGTACCACCTTAAACCTTTCAGCCTTTGATAATTTTTGTACCTGTAATTGTATTTTTAAATGATTGCTCACTAAAACGACTAAGCCCAGTGTTATAAATTTTGATGAACTTTTTGATGTGGTAGAAAACAATGTGAATTTTTAGAGACACTGTGACCGAGTCATGTAGAATTCTTGTAATGTATAAATGTGAACCTTAAAATCTAGGAACAAATTGTCAGAGCTGAAGGCTCGGTTCAATTAACTCGAACTCAAATCCGACTTAGATCACACCAATGACATACAAGACTCGAGAATCGACTTGGGTTTTGCTCTGAGACGTGCGACTAAACTCAAGATTTGCTAACTTTAAAATTATTATTTTCCGTCTCTTCAAAAATGGAGAGATTTTTCTATTTTATTTTAGTTCTGAATGTTTTTTTCTTTTAACTCTCCTTAACTGCGCTAAATTTTCTCGTTTCTTTTGTCTTTTTGTTTTGGTTTGATTTGGTTTTCAATTTTTTGTTTATCTTTTTTATTTATTTATTTTCTTAACTCTCTTCATTTATATTTTATTTATTTTTATTAAATTAACTTTCCAAAACTTTTATTATTATTTTTTTTTATGAAATTTATTTCTAAAAACGCGTCCGCCATTCTGTAAGTCTTTGCACCGCTGTTCTAAGTACTCTAAAGTGTGCTTGCTACCAATTTCGGCAATTTGAAAAGTTTTAAAAGTTAACTTAATACTATGAGTGTTTTAAAAATTTAAAAAACGTTTCCATTACCTGCGACGTATTAAAAACAATACGTCCCAGTGTCGCACATCTGACCACCTAACCCTAAACTTTTAAATAAAGTTTTAAACTTAGCGTTAAGGATAATGGATTATTTATATTATTACTTTATAAATAAAAAAAGAGAATAAAAGTTGCATTTATTAGTTGTACTTAAAATAACCAATTCTCAAAAGTGCTGCTATGTATACTTTTGTACCTGCAAGCAGCGCTTCTGTCGAAAGGGTATTCAGCCAGGGTTGCTTGATTATTAGCTCTAAGCGTGCAATTAAATTCTGCAATTCAATTTAAATTCTGACATTGTCAGTTAATGTTTTTAAAATGTAACACTCAGATAAATTACTATGATAGTCTTTATGAAAGTCAGTATTAGTAATCTTAGTTTAAAATTAACGAAAGAGTGACAATTTTAGCAAATAGCTTAAGAAGTTATTTCACCGTATTGTGTACTGACTCCTTAGCTACTATAATACAGAAGCGTTTTTTAACTGTTACAGCTTTGAAGTTTTACTTTAATATAATAAAGTATAAACTTATAATTATTATCATGCCATATTATACAATTGCAACTTGGACTTACCCTTATTAGCCGCGCCTCGGTTGAACCTTTGAACATCCTAAAACTCGCCCTACGCCATTATGTTAATTATTAAAAAAATTAAGAATTTTATTTTCTTGTTGGTTAGCAGTTGAAAAATTGAAAATTTTATCGTATACTCAAGTTGATACTCACGAACCATATTTTAGAAGCGGGGTCAGTAAAACACGATTATTTGGTCCATGGGGCGGGAGGTCCAAAACTGACAGAAAATTGCGTGTAGTTATATAAGGACAAATTCTAAGACAAAAAAAAAAACAACCAATAATTGTTACTTTTTTTTTTTTGAAGGGCAAATAATTTACAATAGAAGCGGACGTTCGCAGACTATAAAAAACAACAAACAAGACACAGATCTACTTGAGACCAGAAGTCTTACTGCAGCAGTATAAATAAATTCATAAAAGAATTAATATTTAACAATTTGATGCTGCATAAATTATTATATTCTAAAATTGATAGGAAAAATAGACTAAAATTTAAAGAAGACTACAGTTCATCTTTAACAGTATCGTCAGTTGAATCTTCTACAGCTGGCTTTTCTTCTTCTTTTGTATCTTCTTTTGTATCTTCATCATCCTCTTCCTCCTATAGATTATATTTAAACAACCATTATATTAAATGCATTTTTGAAAACAAAAAACCTTATGCAGCTTAAAAACTTATTTTTTCTATTCTCAAAATCATTCCAGATTTTCAAAATGACTGCAAGTAATGTGAAATAAAAATGATAATTTTTGGCAAAAAAATTTTTTTTTTAATTTAGTATTAATTTATTACATAGAACACATTTAGGGGGTGGCAGCAGACAATTTAAAAAAAAAGTTGTTTTTAGAGGCACCCTAATGTATGATATGCAAATGACATAAAGTGGCGACATATATGCTAAAAATAGATAAATATTTCACAACAATTGAAGCAATAGCAACTTACTTCTTCTTTTTCATCTTTTTTCTTTTCTTCTTCTTCTTTTTTAGTTCTAGCTTCTTCTTCCTCTCGCTTTTTTCTTTCTTCTTCTTCAATTTTATCTTTCATTTGCTTTTCTTCAACTTTCGTTTTTTCAAATGTTTCTTTTGCAAATTTCTCAGCTTCCGCAATATCATCAGTAACAATAATATTATCGAAAATTGTACCAGATTTTACCTGAAAAATAAGATTTACTTAGATTACATCATTCCAATCATTTCTTAAAAAGTTTACTTGAAAGCACAACTTAAAAAACTTTACCTGCCAAATTTCAAATCCAATATAACCAATATCATCATATTTATATAAATTATCATCACTTTTATATTCTGGATTATCAATTTCTGGGTGAACCCATTCTCCTTTGTATGCAGGATTGTCAATTTTTCGTGGCTTCCACTCACCCTATTTTAAATTGTTATAATATTTACAAAAATGCAAAGTAATTTAAACTAAACTTTTTTTAAAAACAAAACAGAATTGAAAGAGTATATAAAATAACAAAATTACCTTGTATTCTGGGTTGTTAATCATTGGAGGTTCCCACTCACCATCTTCTTCAGCATCCCAATCTTCTGGTTTAGTTGCATCTTTATCAGGAATTAACTCAGGTTTATCATAACCTTCTGGCTTTTTATCCTCAGGATCATCAATCTTGGCTTCATCAACCCAATCAGCAGGTTTTGACAAACTGGGATCCTTGATTCTTTTAGGTGGTAAGAAGTCCCAATCACCTTCAAGAGTTCCTGATTCAACTTTAGAGCCATCGATTCTAACTTCATAAGTGTTGTCAGGTTTTACAATTAGAGTATATAAATGTGTCATCTCATCATCTTTGCATCTATATAAAATTTTAATGTGAATAAATTTAACTAATTATTTTAATGTGTATAATATTCTAGTTATTTTAATGTAAATAATATTCAAAATAATTATTTTATCTTTAAAAATACTTTTTGCAAAACTTAGTAGTTAAAAAAATATATATAATATAATTTAAAAAAAAAAATCAATTATACTAGTATGTCAAAAAATTGCAATACCTGATATCCTTCTTTGTAAGCAAATTTTTTCCTTTATATGTAAATATTACATGGACTTTTTTAGTTCCTGGTCCACAAATATCAGGTCCAAACATAATGTGATATGGTGAATCTCCGTTCATTGTTTCAGGAGTAATTGTTGAAGGAAACAATTTAATGTATCCACCTCCGCAATCAATGTTTTGTTCATGTTTCACTTGGTACTGTAAAACTAAAGTTTTACCTTCATTTGAAAAAGGGTTTGGTACTTTAGCTGAAACTTGATAAAATTTGGCATCTTGTGAAGTTTGAATTCCTTGATCACGGGCTTTGTCTCCATAAAACTTTCCTGATGATAACTTAAACTTGCCGGCATCACCACCTTTGCTTTTAGAATGAATCCACCTTTTCTCCCATGTCTCATCTAGAGAAAATAATCTCTTAGATTATAACATGTTTTCATAATTTAAAACATCAAGAAAAAAAAATCAAACTATTTCACAAAAATCGACATTAATTAGACGACGGCTGCCTTCTTCGTGCCTTGCATAGAAAAATATTACATTTTTAAAATAGTGCATCAACTAAGAAATATACCCACCATCAAAAGTATCCTTGAAATAAACAGTACATTGGGCAAAAGCAATAAATGCTAAAACAAAAATGGTAACAGACATCATATTTGAAGCACAAATATGCTACAAAAAGTGTCCACGTTCCAACCAATTCTACAAGTAAATTGTTATGAAATTCACTAGTTGATGTACGCTTTGTTCAAATACAGATAAATCTTAGTGCGTGGTTTCGCCCTATTGGCTAGAGCATTCAATAACCAATCATATTATGCAAGCACATGACGCTAAACCAATCGCGTTTGAACAACAAAACTTTTGTCTCTCGTCCGACTTTTGGGATTTATTTACAATTCAAAAGAATTATTTACGTTTTTAAATAATAAATATGATATTTAAGTAAACTCTTTTTAAAAACTATATTGTTTTATTTATGTAAAATAAAACTTTTTACTATGTTAAAAGCCAGTCGCAGTCCGAAATTTCGTTCTAATTATAAGCAATGTGAGTTTAAAAGATCAAAACTTTAATTATTTTATTTTGCTTGCCTTACACTAAAATTTTTAGAATTTTTCTTAAACTAAAAGTCTTTATAAAAAAGAAAAGTTGGATGATATTTTTTCGTGTAGGTTTTTTTATTAAAACATCAGTTTAAATTATTTTATTCATTTTCGATGCTGCGCAGTATTAAGTATACGCAGCCGCTGAAAAGGCCTTTATGAATAAGTTAAAAAACTTTTTTTAATAAATTTTGAAAATTAAAAAAAAATTGCAAATGTAAGTTAAGATAATAAAGAAATGATAAGGTGATAAGATTTTTAGATTGTAATTTAGAAGAAAATATATACTTTCACTGCGAGATTAAACATGAGTTAATCTGAAAAAAAAAAGTCTTGAGGCATAAAAAAGAGGCAAGTTTGTTGCGTCCATACTAAACTTGACAAGTTTTTACTAAAATAACATATAAAAACACAAATGGTTGTTGATTCCCGACCATAGAGAAATTTTTTCCGTATTCATTTATTGGTGATGGAGATTTTAATGAAGACCCTAAAAGTGTTGTTAGCGAAAAATTAGCTCAGAATGTAACTTTTACCGACCTTGCCAATCGAAAGAAGTTTTGTACATTTACCTGGTTTGTACTTTCTAATGTACGTTTTCATATGCAATATATTTTTAGATTTGCGACAAAGTATTCCAACAAATTACTTGAAACATTTTAACGAAAGAAAGCCACATAAAACTCTAACTGTTAGCTAAAAGACTTTCGCGTATAAAATAGATTATTATGCTACATTTAATATATTACATTTTTGCACATTAACATGCGTCAATTATGAACTGAATAACTATAAACTTTTTTTTCTTCGATAAGGGATATATTAACACATTATAAAAGGAGAAGGAGGGGGTTGAAATACTGTTAAAGATCAAAAAGATAACAGAAAGTTATTTTAAGTAAAACCTTTCATTTCAATATGATTCATGTGAAAAATGCACATAATAAGTTAAAACTTTATTTTTTTAACACAAATACAGCTATCACAAAATTTATAAAAATTTCTCATAAAACCGAACATCAACCATCATTGTCCTTTAAGTCCTCAAACGGCTCACATATGCTGCATATGGAGGCAACTTTTTCAATGTCGAGCTTATAATAATCAATCTTTTTCATAAATGAGGTTACAGTCAAAATTAATTCTTGATCTGCCCCTATATCTTTTATAAATAAAATAACCTTTTTGTGTTGAAAAGATACATTGTGGATATTCTAAAGGCAATCTTTATTAGCATTATTTTTTCCATCGTAACTGTTTAGATTTTATTTATGAAAGTTTTACCTTTAGAAAACAAAGTCTTTCGTGGTCTTTTAAATTTCATGAAAGAATGAACGGAAAAATTTTGGACGTCTCTGACGCCTAGATTTTAGGCGTCTTCAAGACGTACAATTTATGGTTTTTTAACAACCATACTTTGTACGTTTAGAATTTATAAATCTTGAAGACATCTACCAAACTGCTCAACGCAATTAAGGCCTACAACAAACAAACTCATAAAAATAAAAAATAAAAAACCGATAATTTAAAACAAATCCGATTGATTGTTAGCGGCAAACCGAAATACTTTTTATTTATTAGTATTTAATTTATGCAAACAAAGAATTCGAATTTAAAGTAATTTATTTATAAAGTTTACCGCCTCTGTTTTTTAATTGATTAGGCATTCTGAATCGAATAATTTTTTTTTTCAAGATAGCCGAATAAGTCCCGAGTAATACGAAAAATGATACTAAATACCGAAAACAGTTTTTTAAAAGGGGCTTAAAGTTATGATTATTTATGCAAAAACGACTTTGGTAGAAAAATTAACACTACCATAGGTTATCTAAATCTAACGTGACATTATTGATAAACATACTCATTTAGGTGTGGTATTTGAAATAGTAACTTCAATTTTCATAAAAAATGGTTTTTATGGATAATTTTCCCAAATAATGTCTGATTATAAATGTCAAGTTACATTCATTGAAAACAAACACCAATACGTGCTGTTATGAAAAAATCAAAATCATAGACTTCTCTATACCCAAGGTACTTTATGTATTTATAATAGTGGTTAAAATAATCTTTTCATACATACCAAATATGTTATACTTTTTGATGAAAAAACATATATTGTAATTGAAACATACCCAGCCAGCAAGTCATATTGGGCCCCACATGGGGCCCAAGTGGACAGTTTTATGGGGCCCAAGTGGGTTGCCCACATCCCGCCCAAGGAAAACTGTTGCTGGGCGTGAAATGGGGCCCAAGTGGGCAGCCTATATGGGTTGCATGTGTATTTTTTTATTTATTTAAATTTTTTATAATATTTTGAATAATTATTTATTTATTTTTAAATTAGATGCATTTAATTTAATTTTAGTTATAAATATGTCACGCGAGTATAGCTTTATAGAATAAGGATAAGAATGAGAATAAGGTGCACAATAATAAACATTTATATATACCACAATCTTAAAATTCTTATATAAATAAGTTAATTTAAACCTCTGTAAATGTTTAATTAAGAATTTATTTATATCAACCTCTTCAAGACCTGTCTTTTTATATACATTTTTGCTTGCGGGTTTATAAAAACTCAAATAGGGTATACACTTTTAAAAACTTTTTATACATAAAAAAAAAAAATAGTTTTCAATTACAATTTAAATCTCTTTTACTACTAAAATGATTTGACTTTAAATAAAAAGAAGATTTTTCGAAAAAGAGTTAATTTGAATTTAGTTTAAAATGCTGGTATATTGTAATTGAAAAAACTCATCATTTTGTTCGGAAAAACGTGTACCATGCCTTAGTTGTAATAAATATTTACAGTTGTAATATGGTTTTGAAATCTTACTATGAGAAGGTTTTTAAAAACCCTAGGGAATGAAAAAAAAGGAAGCTAAGGGAATCATACTTTTTTTAAAAGTATGATTTAACTCCTATAGCTAAGGTTAAAAATTCCCGGAAAATTTTATATTGCAAAAACTTAAAGTTAAAGTAATTATATAGTTTTATAAAGTTCATTTATTTGTTTCAAAAATATGCGTTTTATCATCTTAGGATTTGGGTATTCTTTAAATATTTTAACCAAAAATATAAAATAATAAAAACCCACAAGAGAAAAATGCACATTTTTTAGTCACATTTTTGTAGCTAATTTAAGAATCGCGCATTTTATAAAATAAGCAAAAAAATGCTCAAGATACAATAAAATCTTTTTTAGATTAACAAGTATTATTGTGCATTATTTCTGTAAAGTTTTTTTTAAAGATTTTTCATGTGTAAAGATTGCCTACATAAACGATTTTAGGTGGAGGGCGTGTGGGGGAAGGTTCTACTCACACAAAGATGGTGATTTTCAAGTTATGGTCGGTTTTTGACAAATTTAGTCGGTTAGTCGAGTATTTGATACAATGCGGATGAATTTTAGTTTTTAAGGTCCTTTTTTTTTTCTATTTTTAAGAAACCAGTCGTTACTTTCTACGGATTCACCTCTCCTCCCTCGTTTTTTAATTGATTGTTTTAAGTCAAAAGTGCCTTAGAAAGGTTGTGACGAGTGAGACTTAAGTCTTAAAAATACTTATTTGAACATGGCGGCGAAATCATTAGTTCCCCATTTTTATTGCTAACTATATTTTTAATTAGTTCAAATTTAGCAAAAATATTTTCTTAACATTTTGCCTTTCATTTTCATAAAAATTGTAAATAATCAATCAAGTCTTTATATATACAATTTTATAATTGTAGTATCAGTATCTTGTAGGCTAATTTTATTGATACTGAAAAATGCCCCATTACTTTTAGGGATTGGAGTGAAAAATATGTTAGGCCTTAAACAAAGCTTGTTGTGGCAATGATTATTAATATGCTTAGCCAGTAACAGGATAAATAAGTTTCAGAAAGTTTTAAAAACAAATTATCATAGTTGCTACTTAAAAGTTTTAATTAAAAACTCAACAAAATACCAAAAAAAGTATTTTTCAGTGAGGGCTTTCTAAAATATTTATAATCTACTTCACAATATTTTACCATAAAAAAGACATAAAATTTTACCCATTAATTATAATTTTTTTTTTTTTTTTTTGCCATATAAATTTATTCATAACATAAAACATATGTAAATACAAATAGCAGGGGCAAGAAGAAGACATTTGTCTTATCGCCAAACCCCTTAATCTATACCGTAATACACAATAATAAAATATAAAAATCGTAAAACTACAACACATATAGACTTTTTATATTTATAAGAAACAAACAACAAGCAAACAAAAAGATAAAATTCATAGGTCCTGAATGCCCCTCTCTAACTATGAAAATCTACTTTTTTTCTTATTTTTATATTACAAGAGGACAAAAATTAAATAACATAGTAAAAGCAAATACTATAGTATAGCAAAAAATTATATACTTAAAAAGCATGCACGCAAGCACTCATAATCCTGAAACTTTCCTTTTAAACCAGTATACACCTTTACATATACATCAGAATAAACCATGCGCTACGTTGCTCATCAACAGTCTTCGCTTCAATTTGGTCTTAAACTCATTATACGTTGCAATTGTTTTAAGACCATTTAAGATCAAAATAACTTATCTTTTGGATAAGATCATTTAAGATCAAAATAACTTATCTTTTTTTTAAACTTCTCAAAATTTAAAGGAGCAATTACAATGAAA